GTCCCAGAGCGACTTGGTGTGGATCCCTGTTTTCCACAAGTGGCTGGAATCTCATTCTCTCCAAGTATTCTGCCTGTCTTAGCTTTCCAACCCCACTAATCTCTAGAGCACCATGCAGTGTAGGTTCATGTGTCCAGAGCAGATCTCCAGGGTTGAGTGTTCAGCAGTCCTAAGTTTCCACTCCCTCCCTATTCCATTTCTCTTCCTCCCACCAGTAAGCTGGGGTTGGGGAAGGGCTTGGGTCTTGCCACATCATGGCTTTGCTACATTACCCTGTTTTGTGAGGTCTGCTCTTTTCTCCAGGTGTAAGTAGTCTGGGGCAGCCTTCTTTCCTGTTGCTCTTTTAGGATTAGTTATATTAACTATATTTTCATATTATATGTGGTTTTGGGAGAAGGTCTCTGTCTCACCTTTCATGCCACCATCTTTAATCTATGGTGTCAAAAATCTGTTGTGTTTTTATATGCTGATGTGAAATGTCAAGAAATTAAGAAAATCTCATTTATAATAGCATCAAAAAGAACAAAATAGGAATAAATATAACCAAAGAGGTGAAAGATCTATACACTAAAAAGTATAATAAAGAAGAAGAAGAAACAAATAAATACAAAGAGACTCCATGCTTATTAATTGGGAGAATTAAATTGTTAAAATGTCCATACTATTCAAAATGATCAACAGATTCAAAACAGTCCTATAAAATTCCAATGGCATTTTTCACAGAAATAAAACAAACAATCCTAAAATTTGTATGGAACCACAAAAGACCCCAAATACCCAAAAGCAATCTTGATAGAGAAGAACAAAGCTGGAGGTGTCATATTTCCTGATTTCAAACTACATTATAAAACTTTACTAATCAAAACAGTATGTTACTGTCATGAAAACAGACACATAGATCAAATGGAGCTGGTCAGAGAACCTAGAAATAAACCCATCATATATGGTGAATTACTTTTTGACAAATGAGCCAAAAATATATAATGGGGATAGCATAGTCTCTTCAACAGAGGGTAAAGGGAAAACTGGACCTCCGTCTTACACCTTAACAAAAATGAAATGTTTAAGGACTTGAATGTAAGACCTGAAACTATGAATCTCTTAGAAGAAAAGGGGGTAAGCTCCTTGACAGGGAATATTGGCAATGATTTTTTGAATTTGACACCAAAAAGCAAAGGAAACAAAAGCAGAAATATACAAGTGGGACTGTAACAAACCATAAAGGTTCTTCTCAGTAAATGAAACCATCAAAAAAATGAAAAGACAGCATATGGAATGTGGAAAAGTATTTGCAAACCACTTATGAACTAATGGGTTAATATCCAATATATAGAAGGAATTTATGCAACTCAATAGCAAAACAAATAACACAATTGAAAAATGGACAAAGGACTTCAATAGATATTTTTTCAAAGAAGACATGAAAATAGCCAGCAAGTACATGAAAAGGTGCTTAACGTCACTAATCATTAAGGAAATGCAAACCAAAACCACAATAAGATATCACCTCATATCTTGTAGAAGGGCTATTGTCAACAAGACAGGGAAAAATGCTGGCAAGGACGTAGAGAAAAGGAAACACCTGTACACTGTTGGTGGGAATATAAACTGGTATAGACTCCATGGAAAACAGTATGGAGATTCCTCAAGAAATTAAAATAGTACTACTATGTGATCTAGTAGTCCTACTTCTGGGTATATGGCCAAAGGAGACAATATTGTTATTTCAAAGAGATAACTGCACTCCCATATTCCAGCAGCAGCATTCATGGAAGCAACCTAAGTGTCTCTCAGTTGGAAGAATGAATCGAGAAAATGTAAGTTGTTTGTGTGTGTGTACACATGCACATACAAATACAATGGAATATTATTCATCCTTAAATCTTAAGAAGGAAATTCTGTCATTTGCAACAAGATGGATGAATCTTGAGCACATTATGCTAATGAAATAAGCCAGGTAGAGAGAGACAAATACCACATGGTATCCCTTATGTGTGGAATCTGAAAAATAAAAAAAAATAAAAAATGAAGTCATAGAAGCTGAGTAGGAAAGTGGGTAAGGCACATGGGAATGTAAACTGGTATAGTCTGTATTCTATAAGGAATGCAACTGTAAATGTAAATAGGGAGAGATTGGTAAAAGGGTCTAAACTTTGTATTATAAGATGATAAATGTGTGATGACCTAATGTATAACATGGTGACTATAGTTCACAGCATGTAGTATATAATTGAAATTTGCTAACAGAGTAGAACTTACATGTTCTCACCAAAAAGAAGGTAACTGTATGGAGTAATGGACATGTTCATTGACTGGATGTGTGGGATATTTTCACAATGTATACAATTATCACATTGTACATTAAAAAATTTTATTTTGTCAGTTATACCTCAATAAACCTGAAAAAGCAAATTATAGACAGTATAATACTCTTTTTAAATCATGTATTTGTCCCTTTGTTACTTATAAGCCCCTTACTATGTTTCAAGAAATTAAGGGAAACATAATAGGATGATTTTTTTCCCTCACAAGGCAACAACTTGAGTTTACTCTGGATTATCTATAAAGTTGTAGAGACTATTTTAGAAAAGACCAGCACATCAGACAGTTACAGGCATTACCTTGGACTCTCAGAAAATCTCACATAAGACTAGTACCAAAGAAAGCTGGATGGCAGGAGAAAATCTGCACTAGATTTCTAGCATAACAGGAAATTATTGAACAGTTGAGTTGTGTCAGTATCTCCACTCTGCAAGACTTGTGTGAGACCGCTGTCCTTTCCCTTTGTAGGAAGTCCTAACAAACAAGTATATTTCTCTAGTTTAGTTCCCAGGGTCTATTATAAACAATAGAATTTAGGTTATTAATGATTATGATTATTAAATATTAATAAAAATATTTCTTTAATTCTCTGAATCTTCCACTGCACTCTGTATGTAGATAGAGACTTTGTTTCTTGAGTACTTTACCAACCGCAAAAACACTGAAAATGTCAATGTCTTGTTTAAGTATTTCCACAGAAAATTTAAAACTATTGAAAGTTACAGCCATGGGTGTCTGAGTCACTTGGAAGGCCTGTTGAAAACACAGATAACCAAGCCTCATTTAGAGTTTCTGATTCCTTAGGCCTGGAGTAAGTCCAAGAATTTGCATTTCAAACCAACTCCAATCTTTTGAGAGCCACTGGTTTCCTGCTACCCACCCTCCATGTGAAATTTAGATGGCATTGTGAAGACTCTTGATTAAGTCATAATAAATAACACAGGAAAAAAATGTCTTCAACTATAAAATTGTACAAAAGAAAAGTGCTTTAAGTGAGAATTCTATATTGTCTTTCAACAAATAATGAAGACATATCTTTAACTCAGAGGAAGTATTTTTTCCCAAGGCTAACTGCACATGGTTCAGATACTTTGTTTTCTAACACATTCTTAGGATCTGATAGTATATAGCCATAATAAATGTAAAAATATACTAAGTATAGAAGTGATGGAAACATTTAAGATCTCAAAGTATGCCTTTTTCTCTGTCTTTGCTGTAATTATGTATGAATGAAGTTTCTGAAATTTTCATAAATGAGAGATAAGTTGGGTGTGGAAAATCAACTTTTAGGACAGAAAGGAAAAATATTCGAGTATGGGGAGAAAAGGCTGGTAGGAGAAACCTAAGAACTGAAATATATGTGAAAGTTATGCATTAAAACTGAGGCTTGTTAACACATGCAGTATTAGAATAACTATTGGGTTTGTAACTAGACACTTGAATGTAGTGAATAAATGATCCGTCAGCTTATGGACTGTTAAAAAAACTAGATCTTAGGACTTCTCTCTCTTAAGTTGTTGAAGAGCCATAGTATATAAAATAAACATGGTAAAAACACCTGTTCTTAAATGAGATAATATGTGACTTTATATATGCTGGAGATTTTTATGATGCGAATTTTTTAAATGCTGTAAGAAAAAAATTATATTCTTTGAAAATTAATTTCATTAGTTTCCTGATCCATAGTGTTAGAGCCTTAGTTGAGAGAGCTGCAAAGCTTTGTTACATCAAGCCCAAACCATTTCTAGATAACTAAGACTCTCATTCTCAGACCCTACCCCAGCTGGCATTACTTGCATGGTGCCCTCAAGTCAACCGGGACTTGGGAAAGAAGGTAGAGGACAAAAGAGGCACTTACTAAGCACCTCTGGACTAACACTTTACCCAGGGCATCTATCTGGTCTGAGCCCCGTGAAGCTTAGAGATGCCCAGAAAAGCCACTCAGACCCACCTGACTCCCAAGGTCCCGACTTCGGCGACACACTGTCACAGCCAAATGCAGGCATTACTGACCATATCCCTCTGTCACCGAAGAGTATAGAAACATGTTCAGATTTAAATTACACTTAAATCATTAAAAGATTTATAAATAAATCTTCATATTTAAACCAGAAACTTAAATATTTCTCATCAGGAACATTATAAACTGAATTATTTTTAACTCTTTAAAGTGCCAAGTAAGAACTTAATTGACTGTATTTTATTTTAAATGGAATTAAAGTAAACATTCAATATGATAAAATGTTTTTAAAAGTCTGTTACACAGTTTTGTTGAACCCGATGAATTACAGAATGGAAGCAGGCAGAAGACAAAATATTGGTATTTTATCCTGGTGATTTGGTTTTGAGTTTTATTTTTTATTATAATGCTACTTGTGTAATAGAGAAGAATAAATTTCCCACATTAATGGTAATCATCAAAAATGTTTGAAAAGAGAGGGGCAGGTTTTAAGGAAAATGCACAGCAGCCTTCCTGTGTGTTCAGTAGGGCAGCCGCTTGGGGCAGGTTTATACTTTGATTAGCAAGGAGGTTAATGTCGCTTTCCACTCCGTGGTGCTTTAGGGTAGTTTAATGTCACGGTTGGCTGCACTCTTTTCTTTCATTGTCTAGCATTGCAGTGTGATTCTTTGCTCTCTCATCACCCTCCTGTTTCTGCCCTGCCCCCATGTCTCCACAGATCATTTTGTGTTTCTCTCCAGTTGGTCACACGCTGAGAGTTAGAGCTCGGAAGTTCCCAGCCATAGTTAACTGCACCGCTATTGACTGGTTTCATGCGTGGCCGCAGGAGGCTCTGGTCTCAGTCAGCAGGAGGTTCATTGAGGAAACCGAGGGGATTGAGGTATGTGTGTCAGCCTCTGAATCACATGCACACACACACAAACTTGTGCACACACACACTCTCTCTCTAACCAAACGTCTTCAATAAATAAGTAATTTTTGAAACAAGCCCTCTATCAGGAAGTTGGGCTTGTTTGTTTGAGACAGTAAGATCATTATTTGTTAGCTTATACTCTGTGGTATATGGTGGCTGATGTTTTTGCACCAGGTTGAGATGTATGTGTGCCTGTGCACATGTACACACACACTGTATGTAAGCATGTTCTCACTCATGTGCTGACTCACCAAAAGACCAGGATCATTACTTCCCTGAATCATAAAAGGTCTTACTGAATATAAACCCTTTAAATCCACAACTAAAAACCCGAACAAAAATGTAGCCATCTATAGCCATGCCATGCTCAATCTTCCCAAAGTGAGGCGACTGTGACTTTTCTCATTACAGTATTGACAGTTGAAAAATCATCCCCCATAAATTCAGCAATCACTAAGTGAAATCATATATCTACTCCTTTGTTTTATGGATTTTTATCATAATAGTTTATTTTTCTCAACTGATCATGATGAAATTTGCATCTCCTATTACATTTTTAAATGGTTGCCTGAAACAACAAAGAAGTGTTCAGATACAAAGGGAAAACAGAAATGTAAACACGAAGGTATCATTTAGACTTCCTAGAAATGAAGTTTTATTTGTTTCTAGTGCCTTTCTAATTAGATAGTTCTGAAAGATGGTGATTGCAAACATCACAATGGGGATGTCCGGAAACCATGGTGATTGTCTAGGGAAGTTTGTCTTTTGAGTGGACTGAGTGATAAGGTGAAAAGGTGCCTGGAGTTGGCCAGACATGGAAAGTGATTCTCAGAGCCAAAAACAGAACTGGAGATATGTAAGAAAGATGAATCTTCTTCTAGTCAAAACCTTATTGTGAACATAGACAACCTGCTGTAGCCTCCCTTACTCCCAAGTACGTACCTCCTGCTTTTACAAAACAATCCTTTAAACATTTTATGGAGTATTATATCTTTTTGTCATCAGATGGTTAGAAATCTGGACATCTTTACGTATTTAATTATTTGTATGAAGCTCTCTTTATTGCTTGTTGCTTATTTTTATATATCATATATAGCTTTATTGTATATGGCTTATTGTCTCTTCCTAAAATGTCTATTAATCTAATTATTTAGTGCTGGATTGCCTGGGAAAAAACTGTCATTAACATCTAAAATAAATGTATGATAAAGGCTTTATGGCATTCAGATACCTCCTCTCTTCTTTTCTCCACATACATGAAAAAAAAAATCTCTGCTATTTCTCTGCAGTTTCCCATATCTCGAAAGTTCTTTCTCTTGTCTATCTCTACACTCACCCCTAACACTGAATGCACTTATCTAGACCTTTAAAACAACTTGTTTTCTGAGTAAAGACTGAATTTTTTTTAAGTAATGTTCAATTTTTTTTCCACTGGTCCGGGGCCAAATTGCCATATTATATTTAGGAAAATATATGTAAATTTGTTCTCATGAACAGATGAGTAGAGTGGCAGTCACAGGAGTGATTAATTTCTGTTTGAAACATGGCTTCACCATTGTCTGAGAGTCAAAGGGACCCCATTTATTGGAGACTTACACTAGCATCAGATAAGATCTGCCAGAAATATTTTAAGCTTTCAAATCTGGAGAACCATTAAGTACAACAAATAATGGTCACAATTATTAGCACAAATCTCATAAGCTATTTTGAGGTTCAGTGCATTACTGGAATTTGGGGGCATTGTTTTGTCTTCTAATAATTACAAGAAAGGTTCAAAATATTGATTTACTAGAGGGAGAGAGTAAGTATGTGTCTCACAGTAGCAAAATTCTGTTTTACACAGTTCAATTTATTAGGTGGTTTGGTAAGGAAGAGAAAGAAACTGTTTCTTAATGTTAATTTCTCAAATGGGAGGAAACCAGAGTGAGCAGCATGGTTTAAATTAGTGTTTGGCATGGTGCTTTTTTAAGTTCCTTGCCTCTGCTGCTCTGGTGCAGGCTGTTCCCTGTCAAATTCGGTGCCACTCTGAAAACCTTGCTACCAAAGGGGCTTTGATATGCCAGTGACCATTGACATCTGCTGGATGAGGCAGGACTTGCATCAGTTTAAGAACAGAGGGCTCCTGACAGGTGCTCAGCTCTATGTGGTGGTATCATGACGCCTCCTATAGGATGCTGATTGCCAAATAAGAATTTAAAAAGCACTTTACCATTTTTTACTGAGCTGAATTATGCCTGGAAACAAATTAGTCAGATGATTTCATTTCAGTGCAGTGTGCTAATTTAACTTTTCCACCTTCCTAATTTGTTGCTCAGGAGCAATAATTATAATTCAGAGTGCAACATGTCCATGTTCTTCTAAAGCAGTGTGGTGCCTTTTCTGTAGAGGTCAAAAATAGCTTTTACATTTTTTGAATGAGCACTAATTTGATCACTTTCTTTGGTTTGATTTCTACCATTAAGACTGAAAGGTATCAGCATAATTCAGGCACTTCTTAATTATTGACATCATTTGTTGAGTGTTAGATACTTATACAAGGTGACCCCTTTAGCCACAGAGAAAGGATTCATTAAAGACAAGCAGTTTTGTGTGTGTTGACATACAATTTTTGATCAGTACACACTCAGCATGCAAAGGTGAGGACTGGCTGCATCTAAGTAAATGTTTGTGCTACTTTTCTGTTACCTGGTATTGAACTAAATGACAGCTGATAGGATGACCAAAGTAGTTTGACACTTAAATATCACTGGGTATTTATCTGAAGATTGTCAATATTCAATCCTCCCAGGAGATTTGGAAATGGAAATGGGAGACCGTGGGGTAAGGAGGAGAAGGAAAGGCCCTCAAGGTATCCCTGGAAATGTGTAAGAAGCACACTGGGGAGATAATTGGGAAGAGCACCTACTCAGAAGTGCATAGGTCCTAATAGGAACATTCCAGAAAACGAGGAACAGGTGTTAAAAGACAAGCAGTGTTTTTGCTTTTTGAGCCAATATGAATAATGGACATACCTGCAAACAGGGCCTGATGAAAGGAGAATTACTGATGGAAATGAAGAAAAGGGCTCTCAGAGGAGGGAGATTTTCATTGGAAGGAATAGAATAAAAATCTGAGAGAGATGGAATAATAGCCCATCCTTTTCAGCCATGTTGACCAAATGGCAAGTTAAAATTGTCTTTCTGGTGTGGCACAACTTAAAAATAATTACCCAAGCTTAGTATCATGAGCTTTTTCAATGAAATGACTTTATTCCACATGCCATGTCCTCTTCCATCCAGAACTTGTTGCAGGGCTTGGTAACATATGAATGGCATATTTTACTACCATTCTCCAAACTGACCATGAAAAATGTCCACTCAAAGAGGAAAGTTGTTTTACTGCTGTATTTAAGACTGATTCATTTAGTGGTCTCTAGATATGTTAGATCACGCATGAAGAGTAGTCAACAACCTTTTGTTAGTGATAGGTACGTTGTAGCATTTCTATTAATGATTTTTAGCACCACTTTTTCTTTGAAATATAAATGAGGATTATGCCATATGAATTTTAGAAGTAGAAAGACAACCTTCTGCAATATAAATTCTACAAGTTTTGGGAAAGTATCCTTTTTCTGCAGAACACTGGGGTCACTTTAAAAGATCAAGAACAAAACAAATGCAACCAAATTTATCTTGAATCTGCCTAAATCTTACCCTGGTTTATGCCTGTATTCAATTAGATGAGAAAAGACCTAGGAGGTTGTTAAAATCCCTCCCCTGATCCAGCCTTCTCTCTCCTTTGTACATGCACACTGGTATACTGGACATCATACACTCCTTGGTCTGTGCATGTTAATTAAATTTAAAGTAGAATTGCAAAAAGCAGCAGACTGTTGTTTTCTAGGGGTTTTGCAGTTTTGCAATTATGCAAACTTCAGGAATCCTCTCTACCTCAAAACTAGGGTCCAGTTTTTAATAGCTGAGGTACCTGGATGAGCAGTTAAGCTGAAGACTTTAAGAAGTCAAACAGAAACAATTTTACTCCCAAGCTGTAGTTTCATGGCTTTTCTCCAGGGCTGGCCGCTCCAGAACCAGCTTTGCCATGTCCTGCCTTTTCTGCCCACGCGCAGAGGGGTTGCTGAGTTCCATTTTACCTCCCCATGCCCTCAGTCTTCAACTGCTTCTTCGTTTTAATGTTCTGTCAGAGAACCATTTAAGCTACCACTTTATGTGTCTGGAAACTCATCTGGGAGATTGCTGGCTGATGCCAGACTTGATCTTGGTTTTGATCCAGACTTGATCTCCAAAGTTAAAGACAAAATTAAAAAACACAACTAACAACAAAATGCATTCACTAATGAAGTAACAAAAATCCCAATATGCTATTCAGAAAACTGTGGCTCTGCATTTAACACTTGGAGCTGCTCAGTCTGGTGGTGGTCCTCTTACTGAGAGACTACTGTTGGTGTACTCCCATCATCATCAGTAGCTGGAGTAACACCTGACAAACATCTGCATTGCTTACTGCCTCTAATCACCAACCTTCTAAGGAGGGATCACTGGTCTCCCTGTTGCACAGGGGAGGGGATGGAGGCAATATGCTCAAGATCATTCAGCAGGTAAGAGGCTGGTCAGCACTTTGACACCAGAGCCCATAGCCTTAAATCCTGCCCTTAACTATTGCACAAATGTTTAACTATTCTGAAAGAGGAAGAAAAGGAAAAAAAAAGAAAAGAAACAGTAAAAAGGAGTGACAGAGTCTAACCTTTGATTTTGTGGGCAGGATGAAATACAGGGCATGCAATAAATTGCCCAACTTTACAGAATGGGATGTCTAACCAGTGGCCTAGGATTTGAGCTGTGTGTCCTTGGCTGCCTCCAGAATCTTTTTCTCAGGATAAATCACTATGAGCGCCTTCGGAGAGGCACTCAAATGCAATACTACTCATTTTATGCATTATTCAGTTTTCTTTATTTAATAAGCCAACCTTACAACCACAGTAATTAATTTGTATATTCTCTGCTTTTACTGGAAAGCAGAGAAAAGCACAAATAATAGGTTTTATAATTCAGCAGTTAGAAATTGAAAATTAACAAAGAAGTGAAATGTGCAGTTTTTTGTATGTCAATTGTACACCAATAAAGTATAAAAATTAACACTGAAATAATTTCTTATAAAAACTTTCAAGATAGACTGTAGATCTGTGACATGTTACAAAGTTATCCCAAGTTAAACTTTAAAAAGTCTTCCTTTCACCACCACCCTCCTTCTCTTTTGCCTCTCCTTGTTCCCTCCTCCATTGAATACAACACTCTTGAAAGTCTGAACTGAAGAGTGCAGACCAGGGTAGTCTTTGCTGGTCTTGAGAAGATGTAAAATCCTATATAACACACATGATATTTATTCAGTGCTGGCCTCCGGTTGTTGTTTTTCATTCAAATTTTCCTGTCATTTTCAACAACCAGAACATGCTGGGCATCTGCTTTGTAAAGTCAGGTGGCTGTGATATTTGGTGTGGCTGATACGGCCACCACCTGACAACTATCACACCAAGTAGCAGAGATTGGTTTACGTTTTTGCATTTACAGTGAGCCAAACGAGAGAAGAGAATTTCAACACTTGTTCTTAGTGTGAGGAAAAAGCAGTCTTATTTTTGCATTTGATTATGTGTTATCCAAAGCATCTTAGTGGGGAAACCTTGGATTTTATAATCATTTGATTCTCTCACTTTGCTTATTTTTATTTTTGCCTTCACCACGATTGGCTGTTGAGTGACTTTGGAATGGGATCAACTGGTTTTCAGCTGTAGCAGGAACGATGTTCTTCACTCGTGTCTCTGCAAGTGAAAAACACAGCAGTTCACGGCCAGCACTGCAGCAGCCCCAGCGGCCATCTCGTCCCTGCTCACACCCCCCGCAAAAGAACACTGGAGATAAATGAATGGCAGAATAAATAATTTATGCTAATGAAATTACTGCAATTAGTAGTTCTACAATGACCCTTTTAAAAGCCACAGCTGTTAATGTCAGGAAGTGCTGTCACTACTGACCTTATCATAAGAGAAAGTGACAAATTGAGAATGCAGGGAAGACCAGTCATCAAAGAGGTCTGTTCTGGAACGATTAGAGTTTTCTGAAAAACAGTGTGAATTACAACCAGCTGCTCCCTGGCTCTGCAAGTCTCCCATGCTGTGCCATTTTGTTAAGCCCGATAACAATAGTTATTTTGCCCCATTGAGACAAGTTGTCTCGCGCCACTTCCAGCTCTACCGGAAACCACTTCTTCCATCATGGATTTACAAATGAAACTGTTGTTAAAGAGAGCTTTTCAGGGCAGCCGGGGAGCCTCCTCATAAGGATCATGGTTGGGCAGAGGCCAGGTTTTTTGTTTCTTTCTCCCCCGCCTCACCCCATAAGGAGGTTGCTGGGGAAGTATTTATCCCTATTGTAGAAAGATATGTGCTCACTTTTAGTTCACATTAAAACAAGACAGGACAAGAGTGAATTTCTACCCATGGTTATACTGCAGTCAGGCTTTTTAAAAAATAAAATCCCCAAGAGGATATTATTTATATGGAGTTATAGGATTTGTACATTTACATTCTGGGTCCACTATTTGGTAATACACATTATGTCTCATATCTCATTGAAATGAAGAATAGGATTTGTCATTCTGTATTTAACTTTTGCTTGAAAAACATTATTTTAGTTACTAGTGAAATGGATTTTTAATATGTAAACAATCCAACATGTACAGATTTTAAACCTACTCAGGAATTTTTCATGATATTGGAGAGCTGAGTGTGTAGCCTTTGCTCAGGAGAGGTTGTTTTTTCACCAACAAGGATTGGTCTGTCTCTCCTCACACCCCTGTTTGTAATATTAATGGTGCCAGTCTGAAACGTTTAACTGCATCACCAGCCACTTGGCGCAATTTTCCCAAAGACAGCCCTTTGGTAAATTATGTGTGACTTCCCTAAGAGTTGGTGTAGCTCATTTAATTCATATTAATTGATTTTTAGGCTTCCCTTGATTAATTGAACCTGGTTCATCTTGTACAGAATGCAATAAATAATCATTAAAACGAGGGAGATGTGACTCCACAAATTACAAAGTTAACTACTTCAGAAGTCATAGAGGACAAAATGGAAAGAAGGTTTAGTGGGGGTTCTCCAGTCAGTCTTCACAGGAGAGTTCCTCATTTGTTTTGTTTTGTTTTTCCCCAAATGAGAATAAAAGTGACCATATTTTTCTCCCAGAGGTTGTGACTTTTGTACCTTGCCATCCAGTTTGTTTTTACTTGGGTTCTTTAAAGTATTTCTCAGTTTCTCCTGCAGTGACTGCAGAGCTGTTGCTTTTTTATGGCTAAAATTTTGTTTCAAAGTAACACCAAGAATACTTCTCATGGTGCCATGTCTCAGTTTCTCCATTTTTTCCCTTTCACACACTTGATAGATAAAAATCAAGTTGCAAAAAGCAGCTTTTTGGTTTGGTATGTGGAGCATATAAAAATCCTTTGCCCTACTTGGCAAGAAGAGGTCACTAAAGCTGAATGCTTGCTTGTCATCCCTCGCATCCTGTGGCCTTGCTATTAAAGACTAAGTAAGGTTTCCTAATTCCTTTTGTAATTTCTTCTGGTTTTTAGAAAAAAAACCACTGTATAATATTTTGCTGATTTTTCTTCTTTTTAAATTGCATTTTTGTTTTACCTTGAAGAATTTTATATAAATTGCAATTTATGCTTTCAGCCGCAGGACAAAGATTCTGTTAGTCTTTTCATGGCACACGCTCACACCAGTGTAAATGAAATGAGTACCAGGTATTACCAGAATGAGAGAAGACACAACTATACCACCCCAAAGAGTTTTCTAGAACAAATATCATTGTTTAAGAACCTGTTGAAGAAGAAACAGCAAGAAGTTTCCCAGAAGAAAGAGCACTTGGTGAATGGCATCCAAAAGCTAAAAACCACAGCTTCTCAGGTACGACCAAAATGTGTTATTACTAAGTAAAAGTTTGCTCTTAAAAAAAAAAATTACTGTTGAGGTGGAATTTCATCTTCACCTATATAAGATGCTTAGTGCTAAAATTAATAATGACATGAAAAACACTCTCTTTCTACCTTCCTAAGCCTATAAAGAGATTGGCCAGTTACTCTACCACAGCCGGTTTGGAGAGAGACCATCCCTTATTGGCCTGACTTAGTGCAGGGCAGCTTGGAGATGCTGAAGGGGACAGGCCCAGCTGATTCCCCTCTCTTATCTCCAACTGCTTTGGTGCTCTGGGCTGATTGTCATGAATTTTGTCACACAGGATGAAACTGGGATCCCTTTTAGTCTCAGACACTCAACCCCCAGTGAGAGCATCATCAACCCCTGGCTGATGACCTGATAAGGATATGATTGGTTCCCTAAGGTTAGCAGTTTTTTCTGATCTCAGCCTCTGCACTACTACTTTTAGCCACCATCTCTCTTAGATGAAGGTGTCCAGTGTACCTTCATCCTCAGTCACATGGCCCTTAATACCTTAAGAACAGGAGCAAATCAGGAGAGAATTAGCTTTAGGATGTCAATCATGTATATGGGTCTGTACACATACCATCTTATCTCATTGTTAAAAACCAAACAAATTTAAGCAGTGTTGCTACTATAATTTTACATATGTGGCTTTAGGGTTTCAGGCCACAGAGCCAGTGAGGTTGAAGATTGAACCCAGATCTGTGTTACTCCAAAGCCCATGTATTGTCCATAGTTCCATGCTGCCTCTCTGTGACTGGTTAAAAAAAAATGAAGACTTTGGAGAATGGCCCAGCTTTTTTTCTGAGCCAGTCAGGCTCTAGAGGTAGAGGAAACATATTCTCACTGGGGGTGACCTCAAGACTGGAAGTTCCAGTGGGCTTCCCCAGAGTATTGTCATCAGATCATACTCTGATCTGTCATCAGATCAATATACTTTTCAAGACATTGGACCAGTTTCCCGCCCCCCACGCCCATCCCCACACCCCACCCCAACCCCTGCCAAGAGTGCTGGGTGGTCCACCTATGCCTAGGCAAGAAATAAGCCACAGCCTGGTTGTGGGAGCATGCACTGGCGCCTTCACTCTGACAGCCTCCCTGGCCATGTCCTCAAGGCATTCTGAAGGGCACAGAACCACTTGTCTCTTCCCATGTGCGTTTCCTGTAGTGGGAATGGCTCTCTGGGAAGACACTGATCCGTGCTAAGCAATGAATAGATGGGCCACAATGGGAATGAGAAACGAGAGTGAGGAGGTCTCTGGGGCAGTTTCCATGACTGAGAGATGTAAAGAATAATTACTGGGGAGTCACCAAAGAGCATATACGATATTTGTGCAGCTCTTCCTTCCTTTTCAAGGAATGTCTTTCTTTACTCTTCCTTTTTTTATGTACTCACTTTTTATGTATCTCACTCTTTTTCCCTTTGCCTTCTTTTCTTTTCCTTTTTCTTCCCTCTACCTGTCTCTCCAATTCCTAGTAGACTTTCCCAAGAGTTCTGTTGTGCTATAGATGATGAGAAAGGAGATCAGTGTTCAGAGCATTTGTGCACCTTTGACTGATGTTCCAAACTGAGCCTGTTGTCTTTGCTCAGGAAATGATCATATGGCCTAAACTGAGCTGTTAATCCAGTGGGACTGCCCTTGGCAAAGAAAAAAATGGCTTCTGCCACACTTCAAGAGTTTTCTTCCCAATTAGCAAAGCTAAGGCCATGTAGAGTAACATCCTAAGAATGGCAGCATCAGCTACAGGAAAGAAGAAGGGGAGAGAGTGTGTGGTTTCCTAATAATCTTTGCAGTTATGGGTTGTTGAGTTAGAGAGTCAGAGAGAGAAAAAAAGAAAAGGACTGGTGATTCTTGGTGTCTACCGAGTTCTGGCTGCTTGGGGTCTCCTTAGTCCCCTTGGCTAGGAACAACAGGCAGAAAGTCTGAGAAGATACACAAAATCTTAATTGAAGGACTACTGGTGATTTCTCTTCATGAGGAATTTGTGTTCATAATGCTCTTCAAATCAAAAGAGTAGTTGGAATATTTAATAACTCTTTAAGAGCCTTTAAGTCAATTTATTGTGAAAAAGAAGCATAGTTTCCTACATAGACAATTGGAAAGCCTCATAGTGTAAGATCAGGTTGTGTGTTGAGCAAAATGCCTTCATATTGGAGCATGTGTCCTCTATGGATCTGTCTTAAGCAAATCCACAGAACTGGATATCCATGCCATTTGAAATATAAGTGTCTAAAGTTTACTGCTGCTCATTCGTTGCCATACAGCTGCAAACCCCTTTTATAGCCATATATCCCCTTTCTAGATGTCAGCTCAGGTCATCATAGGTAGCTTTAGTGACCTTTCCTCATAGATGAGGCATCCCACCCAGGGCTTGAGTCACTTTGGATATTTTAGATCTAATAAGCATCCTGAGAAAAATCAGGGCTTGAAATAATAGTTTCCTCCTATTCTCTTGGAGATTCTTTTGATTATGGCCTCACATAATCAGAGAAGCAAATGTCACTGGGCAGTTACCCTGAGTTCATAGGCTAGAAAACCAGTCTTCAATTACACTGTACAAGTACAGGCAGCCATCATCGTAGTGATCATGCCTTCCAGGTGGAATGTGAATAAACTGGACTAAGAGTCCTCAGATACAGTAGTGGGCTGTTGTTCCACAAGCTCAACCACCCAAGTGCTGTTAACAGTTGACTCAAAATAAATGGTTATGGTTTTTCTTTGCTTCCATGACTTAAAAAAAAAGTAATATTTATACTTCCAGAAAATGAATGGAATGAAGAGTTAACAATCATGATGTATAAAGTTGCCCTCATGTTTCTGAGAGCCAGCACATGATTTTCTCTGTAATGGCTTACTCCTGCTTTTCTTTACATGATCCTCTAACTAAGGAACCTAGTAGTACTTTCTGAACCTCATGAAATTCCAGCTAGAAAAAAAATGGGCAGAATCACTCTTTAGAGGAGATGAATTTGTTGATGCCGCAGAAAGACTGAGTTAATCAAGAACTGAGTGAAGGTGTTGAGCAGGGGATGAGAGGAGGAGGACCCATCTAGTTGTTCACGGGGCTTTTGACCAGCCCATGCCAAAGCCCACACACCCTGCCAGTGCTACATGCCTGCCAATGCCCATGTGCTGTGCCGATGCCCGTGTGCCTTCTGATGCTCATGTGCCCTGCTGAAGCCCACATGACCTGCTGAAGCCCACACACAATGCCAATGCCCAGTATGTCGTTTGCCCTTATTAAGTAGGTATTAAGTTGAATGTTGTAGAATGTGAAAAAATCAAAGGGCCAATTCTTATTTTATGGTAAGTAGTAAGACATTTATGGGCATTTTGATCGAAATAAGCAACTGATTAAGTAAACTGGTAACAGTCAAGGAATGCAGATATCTTCAACTTGTCTGAAGTCTCCAGCGAATTTCTGGATAATGCAAGCCATAGTTCCTCCAGCTTGTCACCAAGCAAGTCTTCCTGCAGCCTCTGCTGCCTTGAGCCTGAACTTCACAGGACCAGAAAAGCAAGGGGCACGAGTGACCTGTGCTTGGCTAGCACGTGCTGGGTGAAAGCTGCTGGTGGTGCTTCCCAGTCCATACAGAATGAGTTGAGAAGATAAACGTCTAGGTGGTGCAGACATGAATTAATGAGAGTTTCCACAAAACCATTGGAAAGCATTTTTTCTATTCATATGTGGGGGAAAAAATGGGAATAAAGTCAAATCAGGGTAGCAATAGATGCAGGATTCAGTGTATTAGGGATGCCTGAATTCATTTTTAAAAATAAGCTATACCTGATATTTGTTGTTGTTGATCCAAGTTACTTTAAAATAATGACTTCCCTTCAGGTGGGAGATCTAAAAGCCAGACTTGCCTCTCAAGAAGCTGAGTTACAACTGAGAAATCACGATGCCGAAGCTCTGATCACAAAGATCGGGCTTCAGACGGAGAAAGTGAGCCGGGAAAAGGCCATCGCCGATGCTGAGGAGCGAAAGGTCAGGCTAATTCCCCCATTTAGAGTGCGGAACTATATTTAGCACAAAATAAACCTTTGTAGGTGAACAATTTTGAACAACTTCCTCTCCAGGGAGCATAAAATCTAAAGAATTATTATAGTTACACATGTAACAGCATTTCACACCATGATTACCACTTGACCTTTCTTTACATTATGCATTTTCCCAACCTTTTAGCTCTTTTAATGATATGAAAGAACAATAAATACTGAGCTCATTCAAGCATATAATGGATGTGGATCTTGAACATCAGGCCTATTTGTAATACAGTAAAGGTCATGAAGTCACCTCTGAGGTTTCTAAAGGTTTTCAGTTTTTAGGCAAATTGAACAACTCAATTGTTAACAAAGCCCATTCCGTCACTTTGCAAGATGGTTTTCGAATTTTGCATTTTAATAATACAACTTGAGTTTATTATTAAATCCTAAGCTAAATTTGTTCCTTTAGATTTGATTGGGGTCCTGTCATTCTGTATTATGTTTTACTATTAGAAACAATTACTTTTAAGAATATATAGATTCTGCTTTCTTTTTACAGAGGTGTCCAGCAATTCTGAAATAAATAAAATTTGTCATTTTTACCAAAATTTCAGCTGTAAATGGAAGGTATTTCATTTTTGTGTATCTTATTTCTCAAAAGAAATACCACACTAAAGTGATTAATAAATATTTGTTTAAAAATTTAATGTGTATATGTGAGATAATCTTATTTTAGACAAAAGATTATAGTCGGTATAGTTAATAAAAAATTGTGAGTTATGAACAGTCTCATAATCATTGAATCAGTAGCCATTATACCATCACCCTTGCATTTTTTGTAGCAGAAAATGAGTTCTTTCAGTGGTAGTTACCATTCATTCAGACAATTTTTTCTTTTTTTTCCAATGTGTATTGAGCATGTTTGCCTTTAGCTTGCACAACTGAAGAGTTGAAAAGTATATTGAAAATCAAAACTAGTTTTTTTTTTAATAGTTACTTTTAAAGTTGAAGATAAAGCACATTTGGTATGGTCAGTGGGCATATACATCCTAATTCTGGGACTAAATGTTTCCATTAAATTTCAGGTAAGTGGAGGATATCCTTAAAGGATTAGATGTCACACATTTTGTGATATTTTTCAAGAATCACAAATAGGTGATGTGTGACATCTATGCAGCCATAGATTGTGTATACATGATAGTTACATCATAACCCATCTCTACAGCTAACTTCTAGAGATCTTAAAGTATAGCAAGTACTCTAAAGGTATTTAGTATGAGAATTCCTAAGGCAGAATTATCCTCACAAAGGAGGAGAAGTGTTTTGGCAAATTAGAACTCATCTGACAGGTTGTTTCATGAAGTTCTTCAAACAAGAAATAGACACTATTTATATCTACTTCACACAAAGAAATAAAAATAATGCTTAAAATGTTTTCATTTTATCCATAAGGCTTAACTTAATTCTAAATAACAAATATTAACTGAGCACCTGGTTTTTGCCTGGCACTGTTCTAGGCTCTTGAGGATATTATGACATACAAGGTGCGATCACGTAGCTTATATTGAAACTGAAAAGGCTGACAGAAGACAAGAGAATGTTGGTAGACAAGATGTTTTAGTGATAATGGCTAAAATCACATAGATGTGATGGTGGAAGGAACTGTATTAATTTGGGTGGTCATGGAAGGAAGGTCTATTGGTGAGTCAAGGAATTAACACTGAATGTGTGTTATGGGCTCACATATGTCCTGTTCAACAATGTGGTACATTCTACATGATTATTAAATGGTTGTATGTGGACTCTGTGATCCTATGCAATTGGGGTCAAAGCTTCATACATAAGTCATTAAAAGGTAATAAAAAAAGTTCATTGCCACACATAGAATGTCTAAACAAATATTGGGGTTTAGAGACTGCCTTGCTGTGCATCTTGACAACCCATGTAGAGAAGCAGTTTGAAGTTGTTGCTTCAGATTCATGAAATAATCAAGGGCCATTCAAACCACTGTCGTTGCCAGCAATGACTTCAAGTAACACAAGTACTAAGCCTATAAAAATTAGTTCTTCCATCTTTGACTTGTCAGCTCCAAATTCTGAAGATCCTCTGATCCCATTCACATTGTTGTCTTTGTTGAGTAGAGTGTAATTCTTATGAATCAAAGTACCTTCCAAATTGCAGGCTAAGATAGTCGCTTCAGAAGTTGACATCCTCCTTGATTTGAATGATTTTCCATTTTTCTATGCATTTCTTTTCTAACTATGGGTAGGGCTGAATTTTGGAGGACCATCAGGAATTTCTTACAGTCAAAAGGCAGGTAAGAGCAGCATACTAATTTGCTAGGGCTTCCGTAACAAAATTGCACTGACTTGGGAGGCTTAAAAACAGAAATTTATTTTCTGACAGTTCTGAAGCCTGGATGTCCAAGGTGTTGCCAGGCTTGGTCTCTCCTCTTGGAGAAGCCTCTTCTCAAGGAGAGGCCTCTCTTCTCGGCTGGCAAGTGCCCACCTGCCTGCTGTGTCCTCACATGGTCTTTTTTCTCTGTGTGTATTCCCCTGGTGCCCCTGGCATGTAATCCAGGTTTTCTCTTTGTATAAGGACATGAGTCACACTGAACCAGGGCCCATCCTAATGGGTTCATCTTAATTTAATCACCTCTTTAAAAGCCCTGTGTCCAAATATTATCACATTCTGAGGTATTGGGGTTAGGGATTTAACATATGAATCCTGGTGGACACAACTCAGCCCATCACAGCAGTTCCTGCAACTTGATTCTCTCCCTGTGCCACCACTAAATTTCATGAACCATCCTCAGGGAGTTTTTTGATTAACAGAGGGCAGAAAGGTTTTTGCATACCCAAGAATGGGACTCTCTCCAGATCTCTGCTGTAACAGTCAGTGGTAGAGGGAAAGCACACACTCCAAGCGATCTCTGTGGCTCTTCCCTCCTTCTCCAGGCTGAACCTTGCTGAGCACTACCCAGGAGCCATGGGGCACAAGCATCACATACTGAGGCTTACCAGGTCACTAAGAGACACAGCATTTTTCACTTGCTCTAGTCTCCTTGCACCTCAGGGCAAGAGGTATTGGGAATGAGAACTAAAGTGACCAACTTCGAGTATTTTTTTAATTTGCATTTGTGGGGTTTTTTTAATTTAATGTTCAAGATTGCTGTTTATAAAAGTTACCCAAAGGTAAAGTACTCCATTAATAGTAAAGGGCTCAAAAGGGGAAGAGTAGCAACTCCCATTCTCATAGAAATAGCACTTAAAAGAAATACTCTTTAAGTTTCTTCTAGTACTAAATGTCTGTGATCTTGAGTCCAATTTGAAATGATACTATAATAAATAGTAACAAATAGTGTTTATAGATTTATTATACCCTTATGGCAAGCAAATAAACCTGAGGTACTAACTCGCTCACTCATGCATACTCTTGCATCTGCAGCGACATTCTCCAGCACGCTGGTGTTCTTGGGATTTTCATGGTCCGTTCTTGGCAGTTTTGAGGGTTGTGGTTTGGGAGTAGTTCTCAATAAGCATGCAGAGTTCTCTTATTTACATTAATAGTTGCTGTGCATGTATTGGCAGGAGATCACATATCTACCCCGAACCAATTAGGTTCATAAAAGGTGCAGTATACAGTAAAATAATGGTTAATCAGGAGAAGGGTAATTAATGCTAATAAAGCTGTAGTAGACAACATAATTTGTTGTGAGCAGTATTTAACTTTACGGTATAGTTAAACCTGTTCATTCCAAACAACATCTGAGGAATTCACATTTGTTCACACTTTACACTCCCCAGTCACCATCACCACGGAGCCTTCCCTGGCGTGACTGGATTCCTGGGGCCTGGTACCACAGCTCTGCAACTCCCGTTTCTGCTGAGGGCTCCCAGTGTATCCTTCCTGGCCTTTCAGATTCTATAGATGTCCTAAGAGGAGGGGGATACAAACCTCAAAGCCTCTCATGTTGTTTTGGTTCAAGTTTACCTGCCTGGTTTCCCTGTGGCCATGTTATGTGTGTTCATGTCAGGAGGCGGAGCAGCACTCGTTTGGAGTGTGGAGGGGGCCGTTGGCCCCTCAGCAGTGGAGTGGACAGCAGTGCCTTTGTTCCATTGCCACAGGCAAAATGACTGCAGCTATAGCTAGTTCTCAGGTCCTTAGAAAAGCCAATAATCAGACTTTATAAAAATTCTACTGATGGCCCAGGTCTCATGTGGATGCAGGCTGCAGGCTGCAGGCCCCCGGCAAATTCTGAAGTAGGGAAGGATTCAAGATGGATTGGCATCAAACTTTACTTCTTTAACAGAAGTTCTTCGTGACTTTACTAAAATAGTGGAGAATGGTAGAGTCCATGGAAGTCCTTTACAAAAATTGGTGAGAAACAGACTTGATGATGAGCAGATTTGGCAACAACTAGAACTGCAAAATGAACCAGTTTTACAGTATGTCCAGAATGCAGTTAGTGAAACAATGAAAGACAAAGACATCAGTCTTCTCCCAGAGAATGAAGAGCAGGAGCGTGAGGAGGATGGCTCAGAGACGGAGGCTGGTGGCCCAGCGGATCCAGAACAAGATTTAGAAGAGGAGGAAGTATCGCACCTGAGTGTTAGTGATCCCAAAGGGGATGAGCGAGCTAAAAACGCAGACAAATTTGATCTGAGGAGAAGCCCAGTTTTCAGTGATGAGGATTCTGATCTTGACTTTGATATCAGCAATTTGGAACAGCAGAGCAAGGTGCAAAACCAAGTGTCTGGGAAACCCAGAGAAAAGTCCATAGTAGATGAAAAATTCTTCAAACTATCTGAAATGGAGACCTTTTAAGAAAACATAGAAAAGGAAGCACAAAAAGATGAGGAGGAGGAAGAAGATACAGATTTTTTTGAAGATGTTAATTCTGATGAAGATGAGGAAGGACTCTTTGAAAGTCAAAAACTTAAGTCAGGTAAAAGTTCCAGAAATCTGAAATACAAAGATTTCTTTGATCCAGTTGAAAGTGATGAAGACTTAGCAAGTGTTCACGATGATGAACTGGGTTCAGATGAAGAGTAAGAGATTGCTGAGAAGGAGAAGACAGCATTTCTGAAGCAGATGAACATAATGATCTTGAAGAAAGTGAAGATGGTAAACAACATAAACCTTTGCTTTGCCAGTTGATGAGGAAATGGAAATTATAGATATCTTATACGTAGAGAAAGATTCTGATAAAGTTAAATCCTCTTTTGAAAAAACACAGGAAAAGATGAATGAAAAAATTGCATCTTTAGAAATAGAATTGTTGTGAAAAAAACTCTGGCAGCTTCAAGGAGGAGTGATGGCACAAAGGCGACCAGAGAACAGCCTTCCAGAGGAGACCCTGCACATGGCACCTGTGACCACAGAGGAAACTACCCTTCAACTGGAAGATATCATTAAGCAGAGAATAAGAGATCAGGCTTGGGGCGATGTAGTACATAAAGAAAAACCCAAAGAGGATGCATATGAGTACAAAAAGCACATAACATTAGACCATGAGAAGAGCAGATTGAGCCTTGCTGAAATTTATGAACAGGAATACATCAAACTCAACCAGGAAAAAAACAGCAGCAGAAGAAAATCCAGAGCATGCAGAAATTCAGAAAATGAGAGATTCACTCTTCTTAAAGTTGGATGCCCTTTCAAACTTTCACTTCATCCCCAAACCGCCTGTTCCAGAGATTAAGGTTGTGTCGAATCTGCCAGCCCTAACCCTGGAAGAAGTAGCCCCAGTGAGTGTCAGTGATGCAGCTCTCCTGGCCCCAGAGGAAGTCAAGGAATAAAATAAAGCTGGAGACATAAAAACAGCTGCTGAAAAAACAGTTACAGACAAGAAACGAGAACGAAGGAAAAAGAAATTTCAGAAGCATATGAAAATAAAGCCGAAGGAAAAGCGGAGAAAGCTGCTTGCAAAGAGCAACCCAGATCAAGAAAGGAAATACACAAAAAGCATAGCTTCAGAGAAGTTGAAAAAGCTGACCAAAACAGGCAGAGCTTTGTTATTAAAGGATGAAGGTAAAGACAAAGCCTTAAAGTCATCTCAAGCATTCTTTTCCCAGTTACAAGATCAAGTAAAGATGCAAATCAATGATGCAAAGAAAAAAGAAGACAGGATATTTCTGTTCATAAATTAAAGCTGTAATGTATTTAAATATAATGTAAATATTAATGTGTAAACTTATGTTCTGTCATTGTTTTGTTTATAATAAAATTTTTGAGAAGTAAAAAAAAAAAAGAAAAAAAAATTCTACCTATGGTTAAACATGCACAGAAAAGAATGCTATCTTCTAGCCAGTTGAACAAAAAGCTTCTCATCTGTTCTTAAAGAACAGCCAATATGGTTTTTACACATATGTAAGCAAAAATTAGATAGGGAATTCTAGCAAGAATATTTTGTGGTCTGGGTTACTGAGCCAGCCTGAATTTTCATTTGTCCAGGACTCTCTGAAAAAGAAATCTGAAGAACAGATGAATCATTTTATCTTGCATTTATTATTGGTAGCACCTTATAATTAGTCAAAGCCATATTTGGAGCATTTTGATATTTGAACCTATTTGTGTTGGGATTTGTGGTTGCGTATTGTATGTTGTTGCGCATATGTGAAGCATTGCATATATGCTGTGCCTGAAAGTGAGGCTTTAGAACAATATCCTCATCTGTTCAAAATGTAGACAAATGAATTATTGAACAGTGCGTCTCAGTTAGCCTGCATTTTTCAGTAGAGATATCCAAGGTGATAATTGGTTTATGTGGATTTGTGTGCTTTTCCTTTCTGAGTAGGTGACGGCCATTCAGACTGAAGTGTCCCAGAAACAGAGAGAGTGTGAGGCCGACTTACTCAAGGCTGAGCCCGTGCTGGTGGCTGCGACAGCTGCACTCAATACGCTAAACAGGGTAAAGACGAAGATTTGGCTCCAGGGGTTCCTCAGAATAATACTTAAGGGTTGTTAGGGTTTGAATAACTAAACTGAGAGTAAAGTCCATGCAACCAAAGGATTTTTAAAAGGAAACAAAGTCCCATAAGATATTAAAGTAGAAACAAACGTTTGAGGTCATCACGATGGTTCAACTTTCTTTCCCATCCAGGAGTCTGGCCTGCCACCAGGCAGTCTCTTTTTGAATACTTCCAACACAGTGGGATTTACACTCACATGAAAGGCAATTCTGTTGTCAGCGACTAAATCCAGTTGTTCATATTATGTGTTGCTTTAAGAACTAAATGGGGGATTCTTTATTTCCTCTGGTAAAAAAAGTAGCATTAATGAGAAACCCTCATGGTAAGAACAATAGGCTAGGAACAGAGATACCTAGCTTTGGCCCACACCATTTTTCCTAGCTTCACTTTATTAGCAAAACCTCATAAGCACTCAAATTCCCATAAGAATAAAATCTGTGACTATCAGAAGAGTAAGGAAAAATGGAATTGTGAGTAATGGTATTTTAAGAGCCTCAGGGCATCTTATCCTCAGGTTCTACTAGGTCTCTGGGGAGAACTCCAGAGAATTTTCAGGCCTGAGATTCTTAATATTCAGCTTCAAAGAGGAAAGGATCCAGACCTTCACAGCTCTTCAAAGGAATATTCAAATTCTTTTTTTTAAGTACGTTTTTGAAGAAAATAATTTTGATTATAAGCAAAGAGTTATTACCTACATGGATGTCTTATGCTATTACCATAAAACTGAAAGTCTTTAAAGAATGTAAATATACAAGATTGATTTTGATGCATTTAAATACTCTGCCGCAATGAAAATGATGATGTTGAATACTAGTTAACAGGAAAAAATGTTCAGGATATAGTAAGTGAATAAAACAAATATAAACTAGGGTATGTTATATGACTTTTTTGGGGGTGTGTTAAGAACATAACATACTTGTGCATAGAAAAAAATTGGGAAAAAGGACAACAGTAACTGATTATCTCTGAGTAATGGAAGTTTGTATCCTGAGCACTGGAGTGTTAATTAACTTCTTTGTGCTGCTCTACATTTGCATGTTTTTCTCTGAGCATTAACCCAGACAAAATAATATCACTTAAATATAGAACTCAGTATATTTATAAATGATAAAAGAATCTTCAGTAGCCAGCTCTCAATTGTCATTAGCATATTTTAGGTTTTTGCTTTTTATCTTCACATCCTTTCCATTCCTTGAAGTTGTTTCCCAAATAAATATGCAATTTATGTTAATGGAGCAGAATCAGGTTCAACATTAGATAAGGTTTTAGAGGTAAGAGTATATTATATAACTCATGAAATATCACAGAGAAAACACTTGTTTTGAAAAAATCATGTATCATTAACTTACATCTACTTCTTATAAGACCTTTATATACTTCTATATACACTTCTCAATTTCTGCCCCGAAGTATTTGCCCTAATACTTACAGAGCTGACCCTTGAACAGCACAGATCTGAACTGTAATAGGTGTTTCTCATGCATGTAAAGCAGAAAAACAAAACTCAGAGACTCTGAAATATAAGGGATTATATTTGCGGGAGGGCCTGGTTAAAATGCAAATATAGTATAAAGTTGGGATATATTCCATAAATACCTGTATGTTTATAAAATTCCCTGGACTCAGTGAACAAGGCTCTGCAGGTTTGTTATATCAGATGGACAGTTTCTCTTGGAAGCTAAAAAGGGCAGTGATGTTTGCAGAGATTCAGAAAAGTGCCCAGTGAGAGGGTCAGTTCCATCCAAGGTGGAATCCCTGGGTGGACCGTAGAAGCTGCTAGGCTGCAATTAATGTGAAAAGGGAAAGTGGGAGGCAGTAAAGTAACATCCTGGTAACGTCCCTGCATTCTCTGGACCTCCCCTGGACTTGAGTGTGTCCGTGTGCTTTTCTTCAGGTCAATCTCACCGAACTGAAAGCCTTTCCCAGCCCTCCGAGCGCGGTCACCAATGTGACTGCAGCCTAAACGAGAACGAAGGAAAAAGAAATTTCAGAAGCATATGAAAATAAAGCCGAAGGAAAAGCGGAGAAAGCTGCTTGCAAAGAGCAACCCAGATCAAGAAAGGAAATACACAAAAAGCATAGCTTCAGAGAAGTTGAAAAAGCTGACCAAAACAGGCAGAGCTTTGTTATTAAAGGATGAAGGTAAAGACAAAGCCTTAAAGTCATCTCAAGCATTCTTTTCCCAGTTACAAGATCAAGTAAAGATGCAAATCAATGATGCAAAGAAAAAAGAAGACAGGATATTTCTGTTCATAAATTAAAGCTGTAATGTATTTAAATATAATGTAAATATTAATGTGTAAACTTATGTTCTGTCATTGTTTTGTTTATAATAAAATTTTTGAGAAGTAAAAAAAAAAAAAGAAAAAAAAATTCTACCTATGGTTAAACATGCACAGAAAAGAATGCTATCTTCTAGCCAGTTGAACAAAAAGCTTCTCATCTGTTCTTAAAGAACAGCCAATATGGTTTTTACACATATGTAAGCAAAAATTAGATAGGGAATTCTAGCAAGAATATTTTGTGGTCTGGGTTACTGAGCCAGCCTGAATTTTCATTTGTCCAGGACTCTCTGAAAAAGAAATCTGAAGAACAGATGAATCATTTTATCTTGCATTTATTATTGGTAGCACCTTATAATTAGTCAAAGCCATATTTGGAGCATTTTGATATTTGAACCTATTTGTGTTGGGATTTGTGGTTGCGTATTGTATGTTGTTGCGCATATGTGAAGCATTGCATATATGCTGTGCCTGAAAGTGAGGCTTTAGAACAATATCCTCATCTGTTCAAAATGTAGACAAATGAATTATTGAACAGTGCGTCTCAGTTAGCCTGCATTTTTCAGTAGAGATATCCAAGGTGATAATTGGTTTATGTGGATTTGTGTGCTTTTCCTTTCTGAGTAGGTGACGGCCATTCAGACTGAAGTGTCCCAGAAACAGAGAGAGTGTGAGGCCGACTTACTCAAGGCTGAGCCCGTGCTGGTGGCTGCGACAGCTGCACTCAATACGCTAAACAGGGTAAAGACGAAGATTTGGCTCCAGGGGTTCCTCAGAATAATACTTAAGGGTTGTTAGGGTTTGAATAACTAAACTGAGAGTAAAGTCCATGCAACCAAAGGATTTTTAAAAGGAAACAAAGTCCCATAAGATATTAAAGTAGAAACAAACGTTTGAGGTCATCACGATGGTTCAACTTTCTTTCCCATCCAGGAGTCTGGCCTGCCACCAGGCAGTCTCTTTTTGAATACTTCCAACACAGTGGGATTTACACTCACATGAAAGGCAATTCTGTTGTCAGCGACTAAATCCAGTTGTTCATATTATGTGTTGCTTTAAGAACTAAATGGGGGATTCTTTATTTCCTCTGGTAAAAAAAGTAGCATTAATGAGAAACCCTCATGGTAAGAACAATAGGCTAGGAACAGAGATACCTAGCTTTGGCCCACACCATTTTTCCTAGCTTCACTTTATTAGCAAAACCTCATAAGCACTCAAATTCCCATAAGAATAAAATCTGTGACTATCAGAAGAGTAAGGAAAAATGGAATTGTGAGTAATGGTATTTTAAGAGCCTCAGGGCATCTTATCCTCAGGTTCTACTAGGTCTCTGGGGAGAACTCCAGAGAATTTTCAGGCCTGAGATTCTTAATATTCAGCTTCAAAGAGGAAAGGATCCAGACCTTCACAGCTCTTCAAAGGAATATTCAAATTCTTTTTTTTAAGTACGTTTTTGAAGAAAATAATTTTGATTATAAGCAAAGAGTTATTACCTACATGGATGTCTTATGCTATTACCATAAAACTGAAAGTCTTTAAAGAATGTAAATATACAAGATTGATTTTGATGCATTTAAATACTCTGCCGCAATGAAAATGATGATGTTGAATACTAGTTAACAGGAAAAAATGTTCAGGATATAGTAAGTGAATAAAACAAATATAAACTAGGGTATGTTATATGACTTTTTTGGGGGTGTGTTAAGAACATAACATACTTGTGCATAGAAAAAAATTGGGAAAAAGGACAACAGTAACTGATTATCTCTGAGTAATGGAAGTTTGTATCCTGAGCACTGGAGTGTTAATTAACTTCTTTGTGCTGCTCTACATTTGCATGTTTTTCTCTGAGCATTAACCCAGACAAAATAATATCACTTAAATATAGAACTCAGTATATTTATAAATGATAAAAGAATCTTCAGTAGCCAGCTCTCAATTGTCATTAGCATATTTTAGGTTTTTGCTTTTTATCTTCACATCCTTTCCATTCCTTGAAGTTGTTTCCCAAATAAATATGCAATTTATGTTAATGGAGCAGAATCAGGTTCAACATTAGATAAGGTTTTAGAGGTAAGAGTATATTATATAACTCATGAAATATCACAGAGAAAACACTTGTTTTGAAAAAATCATGTATCATTAACTTACATCTACTTCTTATAAGACCTTTATATACTTCTATATACACTTCTCAATTTCTGCCCCGAAGTATTTGCCCTAATACTTACAGAGCTGACCCTTGAACAGCACAGATCTGAACTGTAATAGGTGTTTCTCATGCATGTAAAGCAGAAAAACAAAACTCAGAGACTCTGAAATATAAGGGATTATATTTGCGGGAGGGCCTGGTTAAAATGCAAATATAGTATAAAGTTGGGATATATTCCATAAATACCTGTATGTTTATAAAATTCCCTGGACTCAGTGAACAAGGCTCTGCAGGTTTGTTATATCAGATGGACAGTTTCTCTTGGAAGCTAAAAAGGGCAGTGATGTTTGCAGAGATTCAGAAAAGTGCCCAGTGAGAGGGTCAGTTCCATCCAAGGTGGAATCCCTGGGTGGACCGTAGAAGCTGCTAGGCTGCAATTAATGTGAAAAGGGAAAGTGGGAGGCAGTAAAGTAACATCCTGGTAACATCCCTGCATTCTCTGGACCTCCCCTGGACTTGAGTGTGTCCGTGTGCTTTTCTTCAGGTCAATCTCACCGAACTGAAAGCCTTTCCCAGCCCTCCGAGCGCGGTCACCAATGTGACTGCAGCCGTGATGGTCCTTCTGGCACCCCGGGGCCGAGTGCCAAAGGACCGAAGCTGGAAAGCAGCTAAAGTCTTCATGGGAAAGGTATCAGACAGCCCGGCAAGATGAATCCCAACCATTTCTGGTTTTCAGTACTGCGGTTATACTTGACAGGAAAAGATGGTCAAGTCAAAAGAAATCATCTTAGTATTCATTGAGTGCAAACTGCTGTATGTTCTCTAGATTTCGAATTTCGTTTGCAGAGTTGAGTTCAGCTTGGAGGTGGTAGCATACCTAAGTCAAGAGCAGCAGCAGTTGGAAGGTTGCTAATTATTTGCAAAATTACGAAAGCAGTTAAGTGTAGGAGGGAGAAAATTACATGGATTTCTTATGCTGGAAAAATGTTACTAATGTAAGAAGGTGAAGCAGAGGGGCTCTTTGGTATGTGTTTTTCTTTTTCTTTTCTGCCTTTCTTTTCTTTCAAAATGTGAATGCCTCCTGCACAGGGACTGAATATTTTACCCTGGGATAGAAGAGATTTTAAAAGTGTCCATTGCTAATTCTTACTTCATACTATAAAGGCTGAAAAAGTCAAACAGTAGGATAAATGCAGCTTGCCAATTTTGCCTTTGTAATGCAAGTCCTAAAAGCTGATTTTAACTTTTGATCTTGGAATTTTCTCTGCAGCCCAAATGGGTTCATTGCAATAAGTCTTTTTGCTTTACAGGTTGATGATTTTTTACAAGCATTAATTAACTATGACAAAGAGCACATTCCAGAGAACTGTCTAAAAGTGGTGAATGAACAGTATTTGAAAGACCCAGAGTTCAGTCCAAACCTGATTAGGACCAAATCTTTTGCAGCAGCTGGTCTTTGTGCCTGGGTCATCAACATCATGAAATTCTATGAGGTATCAGTCTTAATCTGGTGGTTTACAGGTGTTACTCACAAAGGGCCGTAAGCATGTTAGGTTCTAGGCCAGCAAAAAATGTAAAATGATCTGGTACTTAATTTGGCATTAAAATTATTTTAATTAATTAATAAGATAAAGTTTGAAGATGGAGACATAAAAGTATCAGATTAAACAATCCTATACAGAGAATATTTGAAATGTGGAAATTATCTTTTTCTAGGGTAGAATGATTAGCTACTTTAGATCAAATAGCAGTAATGAATTTGATTTGATTAGATACAAACTTATTGGCTAGATTAATTATACTTATTTTGTTAAAATATTAATTTCATGTTAACTTGAAACAAATACAAGTCTGAATTTGTGTTTATCTAAACTTAATCCCTACTCTCAATGCAAAAATTTACACCATCCATTGTAGACTTAATGAGATGAGGAAATAACCAGCTTTCTTTTTGCTTGAGTGTTTACATGACAAACACGTATTTTGACTATATATAGTCTAATCTAAAGTTTGTACCATCAAACAATATAGAGATAGATTATCATTTCGCTTAGTCATTTATTTATTATCAAATGCTTACTGTCTGCCAACTCTGTTCCAAGAACTTTGGCTGGGAAAAGGGAACAGTGCGTGTCCCCTGAGGCTGAAGAACTGTGTCCTTTTTTTGTGGAAGGTTGTAATATTTACAAATGGAATTACTGAGGAAATGCCAAATATAATCAATGTGATTCCCAAAATGATTTTCATAAACCAGATTATATCCCTTATATTGGGAACCCACAGGAACAGGAGGAGCCTGTTGATCTTTCTCTCTTATTCATGGAAATCTGTATTGAGCAAGAGTTTAGACAGACTGCTCTTGATGTATGGGCCTCTCTCCATAACAAAATGCCCAACCGCTGTGCTCTCCTTGCACCGTAAGTGAAAAGATGAGCAAACACCTAGACTGTGGCTGTGCTCTGTGTTGTTTTGCTATCAAATAGGAAATAAAATTTAATTTCCTTCCCCACTTCCCACAGGAGAAAAATTAGCCCATCAAAATTCTCAAACCATTCAGATAACACACACTTAAATTGGCCAGTAATTTAGAAAAGAAAAGAAAAGTGTGATTAATATTGTGTGAGGATATTCCTTCCACTCTCCTTTCTGTTTGCAGAGAATTTCTCCACATTTATTTTCTTCCCTAAAGTCAAGACTTGATCCCAACTTTAGGTATAGTTCTTGCACACTACAATTTCTAGTGATATGAGGATTACCTCCAAATTTTAATGACAAACTAATCTTAGTATCTTAATGGTGTTTGATGTATATAGTATTTTATACAAGAACTTGTAACTCTAATGTCTAGAATAATTGACTAAATGGCAACCAGAGATCGTGGAAGGCTATGTAGATTTTGGCTTTGCCATTAGGTAGAACCATTGCTAAGAAATAAACCACAAATGACTAAGTGAATTAGAGATTTTAGTAAAGCTCCCAGCAAATGTAGGATTGAATGTGTACTCATTCTCTTTGAATCTTTATTGCTTCATGAATTAAACTCCATTTGGATTTTCAGGTCTACTGTGATGTGGAGCCAAAACGCCAAGCGTTAGCCCAAACAAACTTAGAATTGGCTGCAGCTACTGAAAAACTAGAAGCTCTCAGGAAAAAGTTGGAGGTAAGTGTAAATTATGACCCTGAGAAAGTTCCCAAGGGATGGCACCTCCCCCTTAGAATTCCACCTTCAGACAGGGACATATTGAAGTTCTAACAGACAGAAAGGAATTCGATCTCATACATGTATCCATTTATATAGTCTTTCAGTAGATATTTCTTATCTGCTATATGCTAGACACTGACCTTGAAAAGGGGAAATTATCATGGTTTCTGCACTTAACAAACTTTGATGGTGTGGTAGGAGGAGGAGGAGGGTGGCA